GGGGTCGTGCGTGGGCCCGGGGACACAGGGTGGCAGCGGGGCCGTGGGAACGGCAGCGCAATTTCCTTCCATAAATTAAAATTAGTTTTGATCAGCTAAAAATAGCAGCCGAGCACGATGGTGAAATGGCAGCGTGCTCCGAGAGGGGGAAGCGGGACACGCCGAGGGCACCGGGGCACCGGAGGGTCCCCAACTGCACCCCTGGCACCCAGCCTGGCATTGAGGGGGGCGCTTCTGACCCAGCTGGGGGGTCCCAAAATTATCCCCAGCACGGAGCTGCTTCCCTGCCCCGCTCCTGCCCCTCCTTTGGGGACAGCAGGGACAGAGCCAGGCCGGCTCTGTCCCCAAATCCCATTGGGGACACCTTGGTGCCATCCTGTGCCCCCTTGGTGGCGTTTGGGGGATTTTGGGGTGGTTCAGAGGGTGGAATTTGGGGTGGGGGCGGCAGTAGCGGGGGTGGTCCCAGAGCTGTGACACCACCAGGGTGGCACCGGGGGGTCACCAGCCCCGTGACCCAGGAGCGGGTGGGTGGTTTCACTTTGCTGGCTCCTCCTGCAGCCACTTCCTGGCCCGCCAGTGCCCGAGGTCAAATTTAGTCTGCTGGAGCTTGAAAAAAAAAGATTTAAAAAAAAAAAAACCCAAAACGAACCCAAATTTGAACCTAAAACCAACCCTTTTGTTTGAGGGACCCTCCCCGCCGCCAACCCGGTCCCCTTTAAAACGCCCTCCCCATCCCACGGAGCCGCCGGGAGCAGCTTCGGGAGCAGCCTCGGAGCGACCCCTCGGGTTTGGGATGAAAACTCCGATCCCAAAACCCCGCTGAAGGATTTGGGATCCCACTCTGCTGCCGACACCCAGAGGTGCTCGGGGGTCCCCTGGGGTGATGAATTGGGGTGGCCGGGCAAGGCCAAAGGGATTTTTCCCCCCTCTAACCCAGCAGAATTTCCCATTTTTCCCCCCATTTTCCGCTTGGCCACCATCTTCACAGAAGAAATGACCGAACTTCCTCTGAAAATTGATTTTTTTTTCGGCAGCCAAACTTATTTTTGGCGGCGCTGGGGCGGACGCTGGCTGGGGACAGCCCCGAGAGCTGCGGGGCTCAGGAGTTTCTCGCTCTCTTCCAGCCCCAAACCCAGCGGAGGAGGCGAAAATGGGCCGGAAAAAAATCCAGATCAGCCGGATTTTGGACCAGCGGAACCGGCAGGTAGGGGCAGCTCGGGTGGGGACAAACAGGACGGGAAGCACCCCTTGGAGGGAGCGTTTTTGGGAGAACTCGGAGCCGGATTTTTTGGGGGGGGGGCCCATCTCAGGTGACCTTCACCAAGCGGAAATTCGGGCTGATGAAGAAGGCGTACGAGCTGAGCGTGCTGTGCGACTGCGAGATCGCCCTGATCATCTTCAACAGCACCAACCGCCTGTTCCAGTACGCCAGCACCGACATGGACAAGGTGCTGCTCAAGTACACCGAGTACAGCGAGCCCCACGAGAGCCGCACCAACTCCGACATCCTCGAGGTAGCGGCCGGGGGGCGACCCCCGGGACCCCCGCGGTGCCCGCAGGGACCCCGCTCATCGTCGCCCTCCCCGCAGACGCTGAAGCGCAAAGGGTTGGGGCTGGAGAGCCACGAGCTGGAGCTGGAGGAGGGCCCGGAGCCGCCCGGGGACAAGGGGAGAAGGCTCGGGGAGGGCGTGGATCTGGCGCTGGCGCGGCCCAGATTTTATGTGAGTCGCTGGTGAAGGTCCTCGAGGGTCGCGTCCTGTCCCTGTCCGGGGTTTTTGGTTTGGCCTGAAGAGTTCTGAGGGTCACCGCACCAGCCTTGACCTCTGACGGGTCCCCAAGGTTCCCGAGTGTCCCCATCCCTGCCTTGTCCTTCACCTCTGTCTCTCCCTGCAGTCTTGAGAGTCCCCACAAGTCCCCGAGGGTCGCTGTCCCTGAGCCCTGTGTGTCCCCGAGGGTCCCCGAGGGTCCCCGAGGGTCCCGAGGGTTGCTGTCCCTGAGCCCTGTGTGTCCCCGAGGGTCCCCGAGGGTCCCGAGGGTCGCTGTCCCTGACTCCAGGGTGTCCCCGAGGGTCCCGAGGGTCGCTGTCCCTGACCCCAGGGTGTCCCCGAGGGTCCCGAGGGTCGCTGTCCCTGACTCCAGGGTGTCCCCGCAGAGCCCGGTGTCGCTGCCCGAGGCCGCCTACGGCTGCTCCCC